TAATCTTTAGGGGAGCTGTCCAATGCAAGCCATCTGCACCAGGGGTCCAATTCATGTGGAAGTGTGTGGTGGCGGGCCTCGTGTCCCTGGGGCCCCAGGACAGGAAGAGCCCCCAGCACTGGCCCACATTAACCAGCCACAGTCTTCTCCACACAGCCCTTCCCAGCCTGGATCAGAAGAAGCGTGGCGGCCACAGGACATGCTGCCCGCTGATGCCTCCTCCGCCCCCGCTGTTCCTGCCCCCATTCTTCAGAGGGGGTCGCAGTCCCGTGAGTAGCCTTGGACCTGTCCGTGAAGAGACACTCAGGGGCCCCAGGGCCCAGCCCGCTTTGGGCCCCCACGTTTCCACCTGAGCTGTCTCCAAAATCTGCTCCAAGGGGCTTAGCCCTGGACTCCCAGGCAGCATGTGAACCCCAGACCGGACACTGCGGTAGTTCCTGGCAGGTGTCCATCCTCCCACCATTTGGACGTATGTCAGGGAGAGGGATTCTGCTCAGATTCAGTGGGGCACCGTGACCCAGCTCCCCGGAGGTGCATTTATAACTTTCTGGGTCTCCATCAGCTGCTCAGTCGTGGGATTCACCCTTTTGTGTTCTTCTCCTCAAGCCGTTCTTACGTTCCCTTCCCCAGCCTGTGTCTGATGGAGGCAGTGTCGGAGACGGCCCTCCCATGCACACGCCGAGGTGTCAGCAGGAGCAGGGTGTGGGACAAGATGAGAGGGGCGGGTTCAGGAATTGGACCTGGATGAGGACAGGCCCGGGCCTGCTAGGGCTGTGGGTTCTCGGACCTTAGAATGCAGCTCGTGTGAGCTTCAATATGCAGGAAGTGTGCATGACACACTAGATATTGAAGATTACGTACAGCTAAAGAAGTGTCAAGTCTCTCAGTGGCCATTTAAAAAAAACATATTCTGTGTTGCAGTGAAAAAATGGCGGGGGATTTGGGGTTTAACGCAATAGACTACTCAAATTTATTTCCTTGGTTTCTCCTAACCTTTTAATGTGCCTACAAGAAACTTCCCAACTGCCTCTGTGGTTTGCATGCTATTTCTCTTGGACCATGCTGCCTTAGACCTTGCAGTGAGCTTCCTGGCTCCGGCTGCAGCGACCCTTATATCTCATCACCCACTTAAGCCAAATATGTCCCAAGGGCAAATGGGAGATGAGAACCTGATAGGACAGAAAGCTCTCTCCTTGGTATCTCACTGAGGCATCAAGAAGCCACCAGCCTTTGGGACCGGACCCCAGAGCACGTAGGCTTTCCTCTGTGCCCCAGGTCTGACCCGCAATCCTTGTGTTACGTTGTTTTGCAGCTCCTTTCCTCGGACTTGAAGAACCTTATCCTGGAGCTCGAGACCCCCCAGTCCCCATGTGTGCAAGGCTCACTCGGCTCCCCTGGGCCTCCTGGCCCCCAGGTGGGTGCACGCCATTAGAGTCCCCCCACCACCACCACCACTTCCTGTCTTCTGTTCAAAGCAATCAAGTCCACAAGGCAAACCTCCTAGAGTCTGGCCCCTTGAACGTGAAAAGGGGCCTGTTCGTCAGCTCCGGGTCGCCGCCGGCTCCGGGACCCCATGGAAAGAACGCTGCTTGGTCTCCGGGTGAATGCTTAATTCCCAGCCCTGATCGCCTCACCTGTGTAATGGGGGCCGATGCTTGGCCCGGCTGGACCAGACTTGGGTGGAAATGCAGTGAGGCTGGGGGGTGGTTATTATTAAAGCCATCATCAAGCACTAGATGACAATCGGGTTCACTCCGTACTCAACCTTTGACCCCACCCGTGGACCCCATGGTGGCTGCCTTCAGAATAGGCAAGTGGAGGCAGAAAGGAATTTGTGACCCTCAATTATCATTGGACCCCAAATAGTGCTACCAGATGGCCTGGTCCTCCTGATAAAAAAGCCGAAAGAATGGGAGAATCCACGGGGCCTGGGATGGAACCGGCCGTCTGCAGAGCGCAGCTCTGGGCTCGCACGTGACCCCACAAGCCTCTTTCAGTCAGGCCCACCTGACTTCATCTTCTTAGGACACCGTGCCCAGGCTGCCACTGCTCAGGAGTGCCGTCTGAGGGCCGACAACGCGGGCATCTTCTAGAAGCTTGTGAGAAAGGCAGACTCACGTCTGTCCCCTCCAACCAGAACCCGCGTTTTACAAGCTCCAGGATGAGCTGACTGCCCAGCAGAGTTCCAGCAGCAATGAGGGAGACACCCCTTGGCCTATCCTTCTGGTCACAGGTCCCAGAGTGGAAAAAGAACCGAGGCTTGGACGGAAGAAGAGATGGAACGAAAGCGCTCCTTCCTGCCTTCTGCAAAGCAGAGACTAGACCAGCGGTTCTCAACCTGTGGGTCACGACCACTTTGGGGGTCGAATGACCTTTTCACAGGGGTCGCCCGATTCATAGCAGTAGCAAAATGACAGTGATGAAGTAGTAACGATAATAATTTTATGGTCGGGGGTCACCACAACGTGAGGGACTGTATGAAAGGGTCGCGGCATGAGGAAGGTTGAGAACCCCTGGACTAGAGCAAATGCAGTGTCCCAAATGTGCCCGCACGCTGGATGAAGGCCCAGCTGCTGGGCCCACTGCTGGACCCCAGAGACAGTGATGCCGTGATCGGAGTCCAAGATCCAGGGCTTCTCGTGCACAAATGGGCTGGGGGGCCACTGGCTGAGGGGCTCCCGCTTGTCTGAATCGGTCTCGTAGCCATGTAAGCAGGATCTTCATGGTGCGTGCTGGTGTGCAGGTTTGGGGGAATGAACTGAAGCCCGTGGGATTTGGATGGATTTCTGCCTGGCGATTCCGGACAATCTGGAAGACACTCTGCGTGGTCCACAGGGGCAGGAGCAAACAGTCGCTGCTGTCTGGCTCTGGCAGTGACCAGGCAAGGGAGCCGTGGGTTGCCAGCACCTTGGTTGATCAGCGAGCGAAGAAGGCCACCCCGAGGTAACCAGCAACTGCAGCTCGAAGACCAGAGTCCCTGCTGGGTGGTTCAAATGGTGAACGTGGGCACCTGCCACCCCAAAGGCCCGCCCTCTGAATCGGTGTCCCCCCAGAGCGCCTGGGGGGAAGGTCTGGAGAGCTACTTTCACAAAACCCACCCCGGGAGACCCTGGGGCACAGGCCTTCCCGGACACACGGGGGCTGATGTGGACCAGAACTGCCTGGCCAGCCCCTGTTTCTCACCCACAGACCCACCACGGGGCGTTCCAAGAGAGAGAGAGAAAGAGAGAGAGAGTGGTGTGTGTGTGTGTGTGTCCCAGGAAAGCTCAATCAGAGCAGCTGGAGAGAGAAGGGAGAGGGCGAGGTTTCCAGCAAAGGGAACTGCTTTAAGCATTCTAGTCGTGTCCACCCAGCAGGGCTGCAGGGAGGAGGTGAAAATCAGGAAGAGCAGGTGCAAGCGCTGGGACCACAGCTCTGAGACCAGTAGAACCGGAGGAGCCCAGAAGGCTGGCGGGATGAGGGGTGGGGTGGGGGGAAGGAGGAGGGGACACTAGGGGGTCCTTCACGGGGTCCTGGAGTTTGGCGCCTGAGTCTTATAGCGAGAGCAAGCCCAGTACCCCAAGGGTCTCCCTTGCTGCTCCCTGCGCCCTCCCCACCTGCACCGGTCTGATCCGTACCTTCTCTGCTGCTCCTTGTGGCTGTCTAGGGTCCACCGGGGCTTCCTGGCCACACAGGACCGAAGGGAGAAAAGGTATGATCTAGTACTTCTTCCACCCGCCCATCCTTGGTCAGTCCAGCCCGTTGGCTGGGGATATACCACTGAGACGTTTCTGGTCTGAAGGTTCCCTGAATTGAGATTTCAAAGGCTGTGCCACTTCTGTCTCGGTGCATGAGGACGGGCTCCGTGGTGACAGGGATGCCGCGGCAGGTGGGATTCCCCCTGTGCGCTTCGACTCGAACCAATGGCAGGGGTCAGGGGTCCTGTGAGCAGCCGTGCAGACCCCGCCAGCCACGCCAGCATGCCAGTCGTCAGCCCCTGCTGCCAGAACCCTGCCTTCTGCTTTCAAAGCATCTCCTTCAAAGCAAGCTCTGCTTAACTGTCTTCTCCGTCTGCAGGGGGAGTTTGGCCGTCCAGGAAGGAAGGTAGGACAGCGTGGGGTCGGCAGCACTCCGCCCTTGTGGCCCTCGGGTGTGCAGGCGGGCAGGCGGGTGTGTGCTCCCAGGGGCAAGGGAACCTGAGGTGCAGATGCACCTCGTGGCCACAGACCATGACACCGTAGTCCCGAGGCTCGTGGTGGCAGCCTTGGCCTTTCTGCAGGTGCCTTCTGCCGAGAGCTGTTTGGACATCTTTCAAAGGCCAGCGTGCCCTGCCCCATTCTCCATAGACTCCATCTCTTCTGCCACCCGGGAACCTGGAAGGCCCCAGTGCAGAAATGGTTCACTTGGTCTAAATGACAGGGTCAATGACGTTTGCTTTGGGTCCCTGTAGAAACCTGTAGAAGTCACCTCAGGTCACGGCGACTGAGTGAACCAAACACGTGGGACTGAGGTTCATCCATGTCAGGACGGTCAGGGATTTGGGCACCGAAAGTTTCGGTCTTAGTGAGAGAGAGAAGTGAACATCTTGGCCAGGAAAGATGCTTGTGGTTCAAAATATAAATGATGGTTTTGCTATTTTTGTTTTGTTTTTTTTTCTGGCTAAATGCGTTGCTCAAGTGTGTTCACTGTTGACAAAGGCCCCCTACAGCCTTTTGCAAGGCAAAGGCGCAATGAACGCTTCAAGGCACAGAGGACTACAGCACTCCCAACGGCTGGGCTAAAAGGATTTTGGGCCGGTTCAGGCCTAACAGGGTCCCTGATTGATTAGTGATGCCTTCCACACCCATGGAAGGATCGAAACCAGTACACAGTGCCAGCATTTTCCATCTCTGGTTTAGGCACCTGAGCCCTCCACGTCTCTAGCTAAGTTAAATGTTAATGTGTAGACACAGCACCGGTGTCCACTCTCTCTTGCGGGACTTGCTCTTCCACAGCCCCGGTTGTGTTTAAGTTTCCGAGAAGCGAAGGCAGAGATGGTCTATACCATGTGCAAGGGGATTGATTATTAAGGGACCATGCTTGAGAGAGGCCCATGGGGGAGGGTAAGAAGCTGGATAGGACAGGGGAAAGATGTGGTGTCCAGTGAAGCCAACCTCAGTGTGAGCCCTGGGGAAGTTCCGGAGAGGGAATCCTTTGGCTCTCTTAGCGTAAGGGCATTGCAAATGCTGTCGTGTGTGTGCTGACTCTCCCTGTACTTATCCCAAACACACATCGAGAGCCGTGCTAGCGCACTGTGACATTTTGCTTGTAGCTTTCCCGAGTGGGTTAGTCCTGGTAGACTAGAGAACCAAATCCCTACAAACTCATATGTAGATAAGAGAGAGTTTTACATAAAGGGTAATTACACATTAAGAAAGCATCCCAATCCAGTCCAGTCCAAGCCCATTCGTCAGATATTAACCCATATGTCCGATACCAATCTATAAAGCCCTCTTCGGACTCAGGAAACACATGCAGTGAGGCCAAAAGTCCCGTGGCGTTGTAAGCATCCCAGCGCTGGCAGGGGTCTCTGTGGCTTCTCCGGCTTCAGAGGTCTGGTTGCATCAGGGTAGGTCCATGTGGCTTCTCCAGCTCAGGGCACCAGGTAGTTCCATGTATCTTGCCTCGCTGCAATGTCTCCCAGGAAGTGAGCAGAGAGAGGGAGAAGTGTCTCCCGCCTCTAAGGAAGAAAAACCAGGAGTTCCCAGAATTCTCAGGAGGAGGCCACGCCCACACAGAGGCCTCGTTGGCTATGATCTGATTGACAGGCTAGACTCCACCCACTTCACTCTTAATCCTCAAAGTGACAAATTATTCTAGAACCACCACATCCAGCGACACTTATATATGTATCAGAAAGAGCTTTACATCGAGGAGTCATTACAGATCAAGGGAGCGCCCCAGCCCAGTCCAACCCAAGTCCCTAACTCCAATGATAGTCCATAAGTCCCTCTCCAGACTCACACAACCGTGTGCAATCATGCACAATGCAAGGAGATCACAAGCTGGTGGGCACAGAGTCTTGTGGATCCAAGGTCTGGGGAAACATGGCGGGGGGTGGGGGGGGGGGGAGGAGTGGGGCTTTGGCAAGTTCTCAGGTGGCCAGCAGAGTCCGAGCACGCAGGAAGGCAGAGTGGCTGAGAGAGGAGGAGGTTCCCGGGATCCTCCATTAGAGAAGGCCACACCCCCAGGAAGACAGCATCAGGCTGTGACCTGATGGACAGACAGACTTGACTCCACTCTCAGCCGGGAGTGTCGGGTTGGCAGACAGTCACCTTACCCCCCCAGTTGCAGAGCTTAACACAGGGTCGCCTGAGGCGACATCAGCTTGATGAGTCAGGTGTGAGTTGGGGTGACCGCTGCTGCTTGGGCTTCTTCTCTGGAGGGCGGGGATGCAGGTTTGGGAAGCTGTGCTAAGAGTCCTTACACTCCCTTTCGGGTCCCAGAGATCAATCTTATTCCCTGGAAGGAAGAAAATAAACCCAGTTGTCCTGACTCTTATTCTTGGTCTTTGAAGGGTAGACCTGGCCCCCCAGGCGTTCCGGGCATGCCTGGGCCCGTCGGCTGGCCAGGCCCTGAAGGACCCAGGGTAAGTGTGGCACTCTTGGGGTTTGTGGGGTGTCCGAACGTGGGGGTGGGGGTGGCATGATCAGTGCAACCTTTTCCTCAAGAAGGGGAGGGAAGAAGCAGGACTGACTGCCATTGGCAGTCAGGCAGGTTTTCTTTAAGGTGGATGCTCTGGGCCCACAGGCAGGTTTTCTTTAAGGTGGATGGTCTGGGCCCACGTCCCTTAACCTTCCCTCTTTGGCTTTGACCGAAAGTCCTCGGCTGGTTCAGCCGCTCTGCTCCTGCGAGACGAAAGGAGGTGGCCTGCTTCCTTCAGTCACGGGCATCCTGGTTCCCCTGTGCCTGAGGCTTAGAACTCAATTCCTGGGCTTCAGCTGCTATGACCCAAGAAAGGCTTATGCCTGGGGAAGCCTTAGGAAAAATCCCAAGGGTGTTTCTGTTAAAACAGAAACATGGGTGGAGACCGTGGACAGTGTCAGATATGAAAATAATAATAATTTATCAAGGGTTCATGAGGGAGGAAGGGAAAAAATTGAGCTGATACCAAGGGCTCAAGTAGAAAGAACATGTTTTGAAAAGGATGGTGGCAACCTTTGTACAAATGTGCTTGACACAGTGGATGTATGGATTGTGATAAGAGTTGTAATAGCCCCCAATACAATGGTTGATTAAAATTTACAAGAAAATCATTCGAGAGAGCTCGGCTGCCTGATGGGGCAGCTGCTGGTCAGCATTCGGCTGTGGAGCTCTTGAGACATGTCCAGTGCGACCATCGGATTCAGTTTTTATTTTAACTGATTCAGTGATTCGAAACTGATACCTGACTCCGTTTTAAACCACTAAATGATTTGAAACTGTGTAAGAATGTTTGTAAGAACTTGCTTTTTTGGCCTTCAATGTTATGAAGTCTAAATTCCCTCCGATGGAAATTGAGCCTCGGAATGAAGTCGGCTTTAAATGGACAAGCGTCGCTGTTGCTGCTGCTTGAGCTGGTTTTGACTCATAGAGACCGGATCCCAAACGGAACGAATGCCTGCCCAGTCTTGTCTGCAGCTGCCTTTCAGGCTGTTGCAAAAAAGGCACTTACCATGACTCAGTTGTTGGTCTTGCAAAACTAGAGCACACATTCTCCCCTCCACAGAGTTTCCGCCACCGAGTTCTAATTTTCCATCGACGGGTCCTTCTGCTTCCATGTTTTGCCTCCTATCCCCAGTAACTATCCATGCATTTTGATCCACTGCTGACTGCCGAAGTTGGTAAAAACAAACCCAAAAAAGCATTTCATTTTGTTTATCTTTGGCATTAGTGCTTGGCACATCGATTGGAATCATAGCCTCATTAATGGTCCTTTCCTGTAGGTGTCCCATTCAAATGGCCATTTGCCATTCCCAGCATAGTGGGCCTTGGACGGCTTCTCGGGCCCCTGGGTTCATACTTTGTACCGTCTGTGTTCTGGTGATTTGCAGCTATTTCTTTCTCACTTTGACTCATCTCATCTCGTACCTGAGCCTTCTAATCCAACCACGGCCTAGACTCTGCACCGAGGAGGCCACTCTTCCCCAGCACATTTTAATTGCCTCCCAACCTGGGGGCTCCTCTCCTCTCGCTGCACTTGGAAATGGTCTGCTGCTAGTCAGAAGGTTCCACTGGCCAACAACGTTTTCAGAAGCCGGCCCCAGGCCCTGCTTCGACAGCCGTCTTAATCAGGAAGCTTTGCTGAAACCTGTGCGCCCGGGTGACCTTGCTGGTCGTTGCCACGCCTGTGGGACAGCTCTCATGATCACAACCACCACAGCTTGTCATCCTGTGGTGCTTTCCAGGTGGCTGCCCACCACCCTCCCGTCGACTGTCACAGACAGACCAGAGTTCAAAGACGCGTGTGACAAAGAAACCATGCATCATCTCAATAATAACTTTTTTTATCTTAGATGTTGAAACGATCTTTTTTTTTTTTTTT